TAGGCCAAATACTTAAGGCATAGTTTCTGAATCAAAAGCAATATACTAAACTTTCTAATATGCCATTAATTTTATTGGCATATTTTAGGCATACAGTATGATGACATTCATCATTGGGAATTTTCACCTTTACATAATATATCTTTTTAAAGTAAGTTCAGTGGTACATTTTATGCATATAATACAGTTGGGTTAACTATTGGGATCTTGCACCTTTACATGTCTTATCTTGCACCCCCCCCTTCTCCCTTCAACCCCTCCACACTGCTGTATTTACAAAGACTTTGATTCTTTTTTTTCTTTGTCATATTTTTTTCCTTTCCCTTCTTTCTTTTCTCCTACCCCTATACTTCCTCTTCCCCTGCCTGTTTGGACTTTTTCTTCCTATTTTACGTTATCTATTATATATTTTGATATTAATTTACATTTATAGAGAAGATGCATTTAGATAGAAAACACATTTAGGTAGAAGGGAAAAGCTTACGAAATCTATTATACCACATGGCTGTTGTACTTAATCATATGTTTTAGTCTTCAAAATTTTGAATGTATGTTGAGCTCTCCTATAAAAGAGACTACATAACATAATGTGTTTGCTAATCAGTTATGTTTAAAAATTGCACACTGTATTATATCTTCAAAACATCTTAATAAACATTGTAACCTGATGATTAAAAAATTAAATATGAAATATACATAAAATTAAGAAAAAATAAGGACATAATTACATTACTTCCATTACCTTTTTTTTTTGTACCAGTAATCAAACTTGGGTCCTTGCACTTGCAAGGCAGGCAATCCCTGATCCCTTCCATTACATTTTTAGAGTTATTTTTACTGAGATTCCACCTCACCCCAGAAGGAATGGCTGCTATCAGGAAATCAATCAATAAGAAATGTTGGTGGGGTTGTGGGGAGAAAGGAACCCTTCTCATTGTTGGTGGGAATGCAGACTGGTGAAACCACTGTGGAAATCAATATGGAGATACCTCAAAGAGCTGGGAGTAGAGGTTCCATTTGACCCAGCCACCCCTCTTCTGGGTATCTTTCCAAAAAAATTAAAGGAATCATATCACAGAGATATATGCACACCTATGTTTATAGCGGCACAGTTTGTAATAGCTAAAAGTTGGAAACAGCCCATTTGCTCATCAGTTGGAGACTGGATAAAGAAGACGTGGTTTTTGTATAAAATGGAGTACTACTCAGCCATAAAGAATGAAAAATTAGATTCATTCATAGGAAAATGGATGCACATTGAGGATATACTCTTAATTGAAATAAATAAGTCACACATGGGTAAATACCAAAGTTTCTCTGGTGTGAAAAATTATAAGTGTATATAAGATCCTAATGGTATAATTGACAATGTGAAATAGGAAGAAAAAGGCTAATGGTGTAGGGGAAGTGGGAAGGGTAGTGGAAAGGAAATAAGGGAAAAGAAAAAAAATATGAGAAAATGAAAAACTGGAAATAAAGTCTTTGTAAATAGGGAAGAAGAGGGGGTGGGGGTGAAGGGAGGGGCAGGGACAAGGGGAAAAATGAGAACCAAGACCTGTCATGTAAAGGTACCAGATCCCAATGATGAATGTAACTGCACTGTATACCTAAAATGTACCAATAAACTCTGTGAGAAAAAAGAAAAGAAAATAAAAACCACACAGAAATAAAGTTAATTTTATTAGTACATTTAATGCATAAAATATAATGACATTCATTGTTGGAAATCTGTACCTTTACATAATCAGTCTTGGTCCTTATTTTTCCCTCACTCTCCTGACCTCCCTTCAACTCCTCCCTCCCGCCCTGTCTACAAATGTTTGTTTCCATTATTTTTTATTTTCTCATATTAATTCCATTCTCTTCTTTCCTTTCCCCTACCCATCTCATTTCCCCTTCCTCTTTGTCCCTTTTCTTCTTATTTCACATTATCTATTATACCTTTTAGTCCTTATTCACACTCGCAGTTTCTCACACTAAAGACACTATTCCGTATTTACAAATGTGCGTCCTATTTATATCACTTGAGTATTGCCTCAATGTGTATCCATTTAACTATAAATAGCTCTGATTTCTCATTTTTTATGTCTGAGTAGTATTCCATTTTATATTAAAAACACATTTTATTTTCCAGTCTTCCTTTGATGGGCAGTTGGGCTGCTTCGAAGTTTAGCTATCACAAAATGTGCAGCTATGAATATAGGTGAACATATAACACTATGGTATGATTCTTTTAATTCTTTAAGGAAGATACCCAGAAGAGGAATAGCTGGGTCAAGTTAGACTTCCAATCCTAGATCTTTGAGGTATCTCCATACTGCTTTCCACAGTTGTTGCACCAGTCTACACTCCCACCAGAAGTGGATCAGGGTTCCTCTTTCCCCACAGCCCTGCCATTTGTTACTGATTGATCTCATGATAGCAGCCATTCTTTCTGGAGTGAGGTGGAATCTCAGCGTTGTTTTCACTTGCATTTCTTGAATGACCAGTGATGTGGAACATTTTTTCACATGTTTATCTGCTATTTCTCCTTCTTTGTCTGAAAAATGTCTGTTCATTTCAGATGCCCATCTTTGGGTTGGGTCTTTAAATTTGGGAGTTTGGGAGGTCTTTTTTTAAAATTTATTTATATACTCTACAGCTGGTGAAAAGTTTTTCCCACATTGTGGGTTGTCTCTTCACACTGTTGGTCATTTAACTTGCTGTGCAGAAGCTTTTCAATAAGAAGACATCCCAATTTTTAATTGTGCTAGCTCATGGGCAACTGTGGTTTTGTTCATAAAATCTTTTCCTACACCAATGTCTTGCAGAGTTCTACCTAACCTCTCTTCCAGACAACTTACTGTTTCTGTTTTAATATTTAGATCTGTAATACACTGGATTTTAGTTTAGTGCATGGTGAGAGATGTAGATCTAGTTTTAATCTTGGGTGAGTTGGAACCCATTTTGTTCAGCACATTTATTTTATTTTATTTTTGGCTTTTTGAGACAGGGTCTTACTGTGTATTTGAGACTGACCTGGAACTCACTATATAGTTCAGGCTGGTCTCAAACTCACAGCGAACCTCCTGCCTCAGCCTCCCGAGTGCTGGGATTACAAGCATGTGCCACCACGCCTGGAGGCAGCACCATTTATTAAAGAGGCTATCTTTCCTCTAGTGAGGGTCTTTTGGACAGCAGATCCATAAAATCTGCAAATATTTTTTCAAGTGATGCATATCACACAAAATTATTCTCTGAATTTATTTTTTTAGAAATCAGATTTTCCTAACATATCCTTTTCTGTTTTATCAGCTAAAAAATTAGATTTTCCTAAATAGGACATTGAGTGATATGTAAATTAAACCAAATTTAAAACTTTTCCTTCAGATCAGTTCACCTTCCCAAAAAACACCTACACTGTCAGAAAATTGATGAAAAATATATCATTCTTTCTACCTCATGGTGGCTGAATTGTGTGGAGAGTGAAAATAACACAATTCATGTAATGAGCTCTGAAAATTCAAACCCTGAGACCATGGAAAACTTATAGATGTCATGGTTACCACTCACCTGTAATTCTCTAACCCAGCCTCCATGAAAAACAAAGTGAGCTTCCTGGGAACAGATTGTGGAGAAAAGAAACCTTCAGTGACTGACAGCTAAGCAAAAGCATGTCTCACTGAGCCTGGCAGAGCAAGAAAGAAAGAGGAGAGAGCATGGGTACTGGATTTTTTCCTCAAGAATATTGACCCTGGCAAAACTACTCATATACTCATATATACGATTGCAATTTGATCCAGTGTCCCACTCCAGATGTCCAAGATGAAAAACACCTGCTCAAATAAAGAAATGTGCATACAAATTTATTTACAGTGGCTAAAATATGGGGAACATCTGAATTCTCATCAACTCATGAAAGCACATGAAGTGTGTGCGCAAGTATAGCAGCATATTATTCAGCCACAAAAGAACATGAAGAGTCAAAAGTAAGGAAGGGAGAAAAGAGAAACGGAGAAAGGAAGGAGGGAAGGAAGGGCAAAAGAAATAAAAAAGGGAGAAAAGTGGAAGAAATAATGAAAGAGTGAAGAAATAAAAAGGAGCAGAGGAGATGGGGTTGGATGGAGAAGGTAAAGAAAAAGGAAGAGTTGATCTAAATTGCTCTGGATTGCTCAGAGTTGCTGTAGAATTGATATAACTATTCATAAAATAAGCAAACTCCCATCAAACAGGAAATCCCATCACTGTTTTTATAAAATATAATATACCAGTGCTCAAAAGTCCCACTCTGTGTCAGTTCGGTTAGCAGGATAATGATCCAACTTAATGTTGGTCTCCACTTTTGAGAAATGGGGTGACTTAGAGCAACTATTCCAAAGAGAGACTTTCGGGATTAAATGAAGCCATACATCTAAAATCAAAAAACATAAACCTGGAGGAGGGTGAAGGGAGGGCAGGGACAAGGGGAAAAAGTGAGAACCAAGACCTGTCATGTAGAGGTACAAGATCCCAATAATGAATGTAACTGTACTGTATCCCTAAAATGTACCAATAAACTCAATTTTAAAAAGGCATAAACCTCATATGGGGAGCTATTTGACTTGGTTATTAACTTACTTTCATTGCATTTCTTCCAAGTAACATAAGTGATGCTTTGATAAACATACATTTTTACTATGGTCAAATCAGGCTAATTAAAACACATACCACCTAAATATTATCATTTAATTTTGGTGACAATATTTAAAATTATTAAGCAGATAGTATTTGAGAACATCATCCCAAAAATAAAATGTTGACACACGTGAGAGGATGAAATAATTTTTAAAAAATTAACGATAGCGACAAATAGTCAAGGAGCAACAAATGCAAAACCATATATACAAATGTCATTTGAAGCATGCAAAAAATAGAAAAAATGACTCTTAGGTTTTGGGGAAGTTGAAGAACCAGTACACTAAAATTTCAAATATTTTTCTTAGAGACATAAAATCCCCTTAAGTTTTAAAGTCATTGCTCCGTTAAGGAAAAGAGCCTGCTCTGCTGAGGAGTCTGCCCAGGGCCCCCTTCACATCCTTGTTCCGCAAACTATAGATGAAGGGGTTCAGCATGGGGGTCACTACAGTGTACATCACGGAGGCGATCATGCTTTCCTGAGAAGAATGGGTGAATGTAAAACTGAGGTATTCCACAAGGCTTGTCCCATAGTATAAGGAGACCATACACAGGTGAGACCCACAGGTGGAAAATGCCTTTGACTTGCTTGCAGAAGAGGACATCTTCATTAAAGAGGAGACAATCTTAGAGTAAGACAAGAGGATCCCAGTGACTGGAAACACACCCAGCAGGGCAGTTGCTATGTATAAGACAATATTGTTGATTCGGGTATCGGAGCTGGCCACTTGCAGGAGTGGAGGCAGATTGCAGAAGAAATGTGGGATTTCTGTACCTCTGGTGAAGGTCAGATGCATAACCAGTAGAAGGTTGAGAAGGGCACCCCAGAAGATTATGATCCAAGACATCAGGACCAGGAGACTACAGAGCCGGGGATTCATGATGACCATGTAGTTTAGGGGGTGACAGATGGCCACAAAGCGCTCATAGGCCATGATGGTAAGTAGAAAATTATCCATTCCAGCAAAAATCATAAAAAAATGCACCTGAGCAAGGCACTCACTGTAGGAGATGTCTTTATGCTGTGTCTGGATGTTCACCAGCATCTTTGGGACCGTGGTGGATGTGAAACAGATGTCCACAAAAGACAGGTTGGAGAGGAAGAAGTACATGGGTGTGTGGAGGTGGGAGTCAGAGCTGGCGGCCAGGATGATGAGCAGGTTCCCGAGCACAGCGACCAGGTACATGGACAGGAAGAGGGCAAAGAGAACAAGTTGCAGTTCAGGATAATCGGAAAGGCCCAGGAGGAAAAACTGTGCCACGCATGATTTGTTTTCTCTTTCCAGGTGGTTGGTGTACCTGGGAGAGTGGAAAACAAAAGCACTGTTCAAAGAACAGTGAACTGGCATTCTGAGTAGTTATCACTGTCCTACATCACCCTTGGCTGGACGTCCTCTGCCCTCTCTTCAGTCCTGCCAGTGACAGACTCACTCAGCAAAATGGTTCGCATTTTCCATTTTAACTTCTTATTCTTATTCATGTTTTCTTTAATTTCCTGTAGTCCTGGGGATTTAATCCAGGACCTTATGTTTACTCAGGAAGTGCTCTACTACTGAACTATTTCTCTAGACTTTATTATTATTTTTTTTCAGTTTTGGAATTGTTTCTGATTCACTTGCCCAAAGTGACTTTTTTGTTTGTTGTTTCTCTTCTTTCTCTCTCCCTTTCTTTGTCTTTCTTTCTTTCTTTCTCTCTCTCTCTTTCTTTCTCTCTCTCTCTCTGTCTCTCTTTATTTCTTCTTTTTGTAATGGGGAACCAGTGGAACCACTGAGCTAAACCCCTGGCCCTGAGGTGACTTTGATATTAATGTCTTCCTAGCTCAACCTCCCCTAAAGCTGGGACTACAGGCATGTGCTTCCTTACTCATTGTATTTTCTATAACACTATAGAGACCTCCCTGTTTTGTCATGTACTCGCTAGATTTTCTTTTACTATTTTATCAGCAAACATAACTAATCTCTTCTCAAGCACAGCTCGCATATTTTTGGATTTCCTTATATTTATTGATATGAATGGCTCCTTATTTGAAGAATTTTCAAACAAGCTTTTTTTCTGTGGCGGCACTTCCTAGTGATGTGGCAGTTTAATGTCAGAGTCTTTTCCTTCTCCCTAAAAATATGGCTACTGCTCCTACCTTATTTGTGAGATTTAAAAATGCTCCGGAACACAGTAGGATCTCAATAAATATGTATGGCCATTAATGTGACTACAGAGCCGGGGATTCATGATGACCATGTAGTTTAGGGGGTGACAGATGGCCACAAAGCGCTCATAGGCCATGATGGTCAGCAGAAAATTATCCATTCCAGCAAAAATCATAAAAAAATGTGAAATTCTCCTCTATCATAATTAGTTTGAATGTATGACTCTCCCAAAGTGGAGTATTGTGTTGTCTTTTAAAAACGGTTTTCTTTTTAAATTTTATTTTAAATTAATATATATTTCACATACATATTGATCACACTCATCACAGGGAGTCATACCTGTACACAATATATCTCAATTTCCTTCCCCACTTTTCTTCACCTTGAAATACGCTTTTAAGTGGAATAAATCAGACCCATATGTTTAAACACTGCATTGTTACTCTCTTTTGAGAAGCTGAAAGCATAAATAAGGACCAAAATGGATGAGATCTATTGTGAAGGAGGAAGAAAATGTTCGCATGGGAAGAGGAAAAGTGGAGGGGAGAGGGACAGGGAAAGGAAGAGGAAATTAAAGCTGTGTAATTAAATCAGACTTTTGTGAATGGAATTTGGTTCATCCATGTATCATTTTTGTGACCTTGAGAAATCTATTCATTTCCTTTAATTGCAAATATCTCACCTCTACATAATGAGTAATATTTACTAAAATTTTAGATTAAAGTGTAAAATTAAATAATATGACTTCTGACAATTTTCCATTTTAGTTCCCGTAACATGTAATAGGCGTTTCAAAATGTGAATTCACACAAAATATATCTGTCTTGCATGACCATTGTTTATCAATGGCCCTTTAATCTGGGTAGACATAAAGAATGCAATTCTGATTATTTTTAATCCAGTATATTTTTATTTTATTATTACTTATATGCAGTATACGACTACATTCATAATGAGCAGCTGGTACACAGACATAATGCATCTTAATTCTTATAAGCATAACAAACATGTTACCTCATTTGATCACCATGAAGCATTTCTGATTTATGAAGATCCTTAAGGTACTGTATTGCAGGGACTACCTCTCCAGTGAATTCTCCCAAGAAGAGCAAAATATATGTGGACTACATAGAGAGGAGGCGAAAGTACACCAACATTAAATTCATATAAGACATGTATGAGAGTGTATTCTTACATGCACATGATTTTGAGAGGGGATGTATTTTGTTAAAATTGGAGGAGTTCTTTGCTAAAATATGTGTTTGGCTGAGAACATTCTAGCTGCATATATCAAAGAATCTAAAATAATAAAAGATAAATTTAAGCATTGAAAATAAATATTTATAATCACCACTATACAACATGATAGATATTATTATTTCCTATATCATGAAAGTTATGGAGACAGAGAAAGAGCAAATAGAAAATAAGTATATTATGAGCAATCTTCTTTTCACATTCTTGACTATAGATGAAAAAAACTAAATAATAAAATTAAATGAAAATAAGACCCAAGATAATTCATGTAAAGGTACAAGATCCCAACGATGAATGTAACTTTATTGTATACTTAAAATGTACCAATAAACATAATAAAGATAAAAATAAATGAAATGGTTTCTTGTGTGTCTAACAAGTGGAGTTTGGACTAATCCTAAAATGCTTGCCTGGAAAGTCCTTAGGTGCATTTCTAGCATCACCAAAAAAAGAAAAATATATGGAAAAAATCAATGCCAATTATAGAAATGGAAGCCAGTTTAACATAAGAGTGTTTTAAAACAAATTCATTATAGAAATCAGTCAATGATGATAAATAATAATTATATGATTAAGGTCTGAAAAAGTTTAATAGGCACGACTGTGGTTAATGGTTGAAATAGAGCCTCTGCTGAAGAAAACAAAAGATAGTTGCATAATCCAATGAAGAATAGATTTTTTTTTCAAATCAATTAACAGGAAACATTTATGGTAAATTAATAAACATAGCAAAGAAATTCTGCAGAAATCTTGACTTATTGATTATTTTCCTGAGCATTTAGAGTTTGGTAAAATGAAAAAAAAAAGAGATTAGAGTATTTAACACTAGAAATGAGGACAATGTCACATTTACTGTGGATGCTAAGGTAAAATGGTCACAGCAACAATATAGAATTTACAAGAGCTTGCATCAAATAAAACCTTCATGCAAACTTTGATGCTATGATAGGAAAATCCAATCAAATATACAATTTATTTGACAATAGCTCATACACGATTGAACTTCAAGAAGTTAAACAAAGTCATTGAAGGAAGATCTAATTGCAGTACAATTTATAGGAAAAACAAGAGGTAAAGACTTTAAGAGGTTAAATATTATTGGAAATAAGTTATAGATTCAGGAGAATAAATGAAACAGAAGAATGGCTAAATAAGAGACATCTCAATGAATATGAGTTTCTTCAAAATACTGTAGAGGACCCCCACCTTCATAAACTACAGTAATATGGGACTTTCCATTCTCATTCTAGAGTTAAAGCCTTCCAACTATGCTGCTGCCTCCTCTTTTGTCCACCTTCCCTCCCTGCGACACATCAAGTCTCTCACATGGAGGCCACGGAAGCTTTCTTTTCTCACAATCTGTCCCCGGGAAGCCCTCTTGCATTTACTTGGATGAGTCACAGAATTATAGGCGAGGGGCAACTGGGATGTGTTTAAATTTTCCACTCTGGCAAGAGTTGAATTCTCAGAGCTCCTCATTTCCAGTCTCCAAATGATTCCAATCCCTCGAGGTAGAATCAATGTAAGAGGATGCTAATTTTCAGTAAACTTTGCTTCAGTGTAAATGTAGGTAAATGGAGATGAACTCATTCCCTCCAAGGGAAAAAATAACACTCTTTTTCTTTCCTTTGATCTGAAAGTCACATAGTGTCCCTTAAGGAAAGTTCAATTTCTACAAGGAAAATATCCTAACCACCATTTCCTATGTTGTGCTTCCCTTGGGAATCTTTACTGATTGTATTTACCTTTTCATCTACACAATGCTATGGAAGCAAAGTAAACTTTTCTTTTAAAATTTATTTTTAATTTTTCATACATAGATTTTTCAATTTACTGCTCAAATTGTAATCTATAATACCTATATAATATAATACCTAATATCTATCTAATCGATGGATAGATAGATAGATAGATACAAGTATATGCTGTGTCTTGTAGTTCTTTTAGGTGAGAGCTCTTTGCAGCCACCCAGAATCTTTCAAGAATAAAATACATCATCACTGAGTATCATCACATTCAACTTGCCATAAAACACTCCTCTTAAACTTCTTCATCCTAGCTGAATGGAATTTTGTATCCAATGGCTGGCATTTCTCCATCCACTCCTCCAAACTATCTACAGTTTGTTAGCGACAAATCTGTTCTTTGTTTCTTGGAGATCTAGTTTTTGAGATTGCACAAGTGCTGGCAGTCCTGCAGTACTTATGTTTCATGTTTAGCTGATTTTACTTAATATAATGTCCCTCGGGTCCACCCACATTGTAGTAAATGACAATATTTTTTCTTATATGTAGACACACACATACAACCTATATTTTCTTTATCCAGTCATCTCTTGATTAATCCCTTTAATTGATTTCAAATTTTGGCTCTTGTCAATAGCGATGGAGCAAAAACTGCAGCATAGATATATTTTCACCATTGAATCATAGGCTTGGTAGTTTATGTAGGAATTGTGTTATAATTCTTGATGTACCTTCACACTGTGGGTCATAATGGCTGCATTTTTGCGTTCATTTATTTTTTAAATTGACAAATAAAAGTATATGTGTTTATTGTGATGAACATATGTTTAGAAGCATTGTACAATGCAAATGTTTAAATATAAAATATTAAACATATCAAATATAGAGCATAGAGCCTTTACTATGGTTTTGTTTTAATCATTTTATGGCTTCAATTCTTACATTAACTGTTAATCCTTTTTCATGTTATTTAAAATAATATGAAAGAATAATATGCAAAATTAAGGGGCAATGTTATAACGATGTATACTGAATAGAGATTAATTTTTCAGCAGTGATTCCTAATCAAAACACCACTTGGTGAGTAACATAAAATGGATACATCTCAAAAATATAATATTGAGTGAAATAAATCAGACACACCAGTTTAAATACTACATAATAGCTCTCATTTCATTAAGGCAAAGTACAAAGAGATCAACA